ATATTTAACTACTAAAATAAGTTTGATGACTACTATATAATCTTAGAAAGTATCCCAGGTAGAAATAATTTTTTTCTAATAGAATCTTTCTTGCTGAAAGGATGGCAACTCTAACCAGTGGGAAATAAATAGTCTTTGAGCCTGGATAAAAGCCATTCACTGTGGTTTAAATGTCCATTTGGTAAAGAGATGAAACTTTAAATCCTTGTTCTTCAAGGAAGTTATTTCTGTAAACACTGTTAAGATCAGATCAGTGTTTTAAAAACCTTGTTGTAAACAGAGTTAGGCTTTGGTTCTACACCAGTGTGTTGAATTTTGGCCTTAGGAATTTTGAATAACCTTTCGTTACATCCAGCTCAGTCATGTCCACACCATCTTTCTTTCGGGTTTAACTTTTACACATTTTCATATGACATATGTTAACCTTCTAGGTTTTAACCTTATCTGCTATTTCTATTTTGAGACAATCATTTACTTTTAGAACAAAACTAAATTACAATCTAAAGTCCTTTCTGCTCCAGAAAAAAATTTTCTCCTTTTTCCCCTTTAAACCTCTTTGCCAAAAATATATTTTATATATATAGCTATCTATATCTTTTTTATCCTTTTATGGTTCTTTTCTGACTCATTTTTCTTTACAAAATTTAGAGAACTTTTCTTTAACAAAAATGAGTATAGTAGAATGCATATGTTGGGACATTTAAAACATAAAGAAAACATGTTTAAAGTCCTGCTTTCTCCTTCAAAAATGTTCCATTAACTATTTATCAATGAATTACGTCTTATTATAATAATAAGCACTGTGAAAATCCCTTTTGAAAAAAAAAATCATTGATTTCTCACTTGGGTTCACAAGGTGACCCAAAGCAGAAAAAGAAAAAAAAAAAAAAAAGCCTGCTATGTCTACCTTAATTCTTTGGGGTCATGTGTTTACTTCTGTAGTAAACATAATAATCTAAATTACTGGCAGCTCAGGTTGTCTCATCTTCAAAATCTGAAGGTACACATATAAACTATTGTCTCACATATATTGAAGAGAAGATCAGAATCTAATTTATACCTATGATACAATGAAACCAACCAAGGTAACTGTCTGCCTTCTGTAACCCTCTAAGCAGGCAAGGCAAACTTAATTTGAAGATGACTTTTTGCTTTCTTTTCATTTTTCTTTAACTTTTAAATGTCTGTATTTCAGGCCTAAGTAATGACCTTGGAAAATATATTTTGTTTTTTCAAAAAAAGACAGGCTTAGGGAAAATCCCAGTAGACAGACATTAAGCCCTATCTATTAATGCCATAATCACAATTCAGAAATAACTCTAAAATGTTTATATTACATCCATATACACATATTAAATAAATCATAATAATAATGAATATTGACATAATAATAGTAACAATAATAGTCTTCGTGAAAAGTAAGTTTAAAAAATGAAGGTAAAAATAAACCTATCAAAGCTTTGCGAGTCAGTTATTTTGAAAATTTCTAGAGGCAGATTAAAGTTTTGCCCCATTCTGTTTCAGTCACAAAATAACACTTTAAAACTGATGATATAAATGCAGATATCATGAACACATTCAATACAATTGTATTAAACCAGAGTGCACATTATGGAAACATGATAAGCCCTGACATTCTTGGGCAGGAGTTCCTTAAGGACCGTAAAGGCTCAGAAGGCAAAGCTTTCTGTGAAGACCCTGTGTCCTAAGAGCTAATAGGCATGGAAGGAGAGGTCTTCACAGATGGAAAGTCTCTCCTAACTTCCGTAAAATCCCTAACTTCCATTCAATCTCATCTTTGACAATTTCAGTACTTATAGAAGGCATCCTAGGCACTCTCACCCCTATTCTTCTTTACCTCCTTCCTCCTGCTGTCCACCCCGTTCCTCCCTACAAGTCCTCTTCTTCCATTCATGTCTTTGCGGTATTCTGTTTTGTTTGTTTGGTGATCCATTGATTTTAATCAGGGATGTCTATGTGACCTTGGGATTGGGATATTCATCGGAGTTTGTTGTGCTCACCAGTGCCAACACATTGGAAAATAGTGACTATCCTTCCTTGAAAGTCATTAGTAGCCAGTAATTCACTGGGGAGACAGGACCCTGTGAACCCATCTGTGGGATTTGCACAAATGGGAATTTGAAATAAATGTCAGAAAATCGTATTTTTTTCATATCAAGCGCTTGACTTGAAATTCTTTAGTAAATTCAAAGTATTTCATTGTAATTGTTTTTTAAGGAATCTAGATATTGTAGGTCATTCATTTCCCCCTAGATATCATCTCAAACCAGCTATGTTACTCATTTGATAAAGAGTTTTCTCTTCTTGGACATTACCAGAACAGTAGAAGGAAATGATTATGAAGGAAGAAGCAAGGTCAGAGGAGAGTAGGGGACTGAAAAGCCAAATTCTTCAGAATTCATCTTAATTTTGACAAAATTTTACAATTTCCTTAATAATTTCTTAATTTTTTCTCAAATCACATCTCTTTCTAATAGTTTCTAAAACACATTTTTTCACTTTTCTTCTTTATTTATTTATTTTTTTAATTTATTAAAGATTTCTGT